TTTCTGCTGTCGGTCGGTGTTACATGCACAAGCTTTGAAGCAGAACATGTGGTTTCCCGTGCGCTTGGAAATCAGTTGAAGCGCTCAGCCTTTGCCTAAACACGAATGAAGCTGAGAGAGTGTGGCAATTGGGCACAAGCAGACAGGGGTTGAGACCACTGAGCACTTTCCGTCTTGAACTTATGATCCTTTTATTGTGTGAAAGTCTTACTGCGCAGCAGTCTGCGCAGCTGCAGGAGAAGTTTGCTTTGAACTGCCCACTCCATGGCTTGATGTTTCTACCGAATTATGTGACCGGGATTCAATCGCTTGTTGGACTCCAGCCGTGGTCCTTTGGCGAAGTCGGTGAACCAGGTGATCCACCAGGCTTGCCAAGGTTAAGATGTTCCAATCCAATGGATTCAGGTGTGAAGCAAAATGCTTCTCCTTGAAGACTTGTTCAATCAAGAATCATATGTGACTTCTATTTGTTTCTTCCTTACAAGGACATTCTTCATTGATAGAGATTGAGAGCCTCTCAAGCAATGAATGTGGAAAACAGGACTACAGTACTTCTCGAGTTCGCTGAACTACTTCTAGACTAGACTGCATCAATGAGCTGCGGAAGTGCAATAGGAACCCATTAGCTGTTCTTGATGTTCTTTGCAATATTGTTGAGCCTTAATTTCTTTGGTTTTTTGACCACCAAAAAGATTTCGCCATTGCATTCCGTTTTGTTCACAGAACACTTGGAGTGTTGGCCAGAGCGTTCCTTTGGCATCCTTTGGCCATTCGGCTTGGATGACGAACGTGCATTTGGAACAACGGACTATCATTGGACTATTGGTATCTAAGGCCATTCACTGGACATGCATTGAACGGTAAATAGCATCACACATGTTTTTGCCCAACAAGGTACGCAATCCAGCTCCACAGATAAATGTATCCGTTCTTGCCAGAAAAACCTCACATGTAACACATGGGAGGCTTGCCGCGACAGACTACAGAGTCTTCTTCAGGTCAAGTTGGTGGTGGACACCCCAGAGTTCCAACGGATGCGACACATCAAGCAACTGGGCGCTTGCGCACAGGTCTTTCCAGGCATGCCCGCAGGGTCCAAGACGCTTCAAAAACACCGATCGACAAAGGTCCAGTTTTCATTGTCTTGTCATGCCCTTTGCTCCTAGTAGCATCCTTGCTCCTAGTAGTACGGCCAGGAGCCCCTAATAGCGTCCTTGTTACTAGTAGCGATGCCCTTTGCTCCTAGTCTGTGATTGAAGGTAGATACACACCAAGATTTGAAAAGGAAGATACCACCTCCAAGCCGATGCTGATCATTGTTCAGGCGCTACGCACAATCGTTTCTTCCACAGCATCGGAACGGCCTACCTCGCGTTCCAGTTCGTCCGAAACATACGCCAGCAGCAACCAGAGTTGCGTGTCACAGACCGTGACGAGATTTGCGTCACTTTAGCTGGACTCTGCCATGACCTGGGCCATCCTTGCTTCTCCCACATGTTTGAACGCTCTTTGCTTGCAAAGAGAGGAGTCGGCTGCATGTTTCAAGACACCGACATTCCCAGGAAGTTAAGTTATATATGTGATTATGATGTTGGGAGTTTCTTCTTTACCCCACACTGAGGCCGTGTGGAAGGATGTGTATAGATTTGTCACAGATGACTCAATTCCTTCTGGCCATGGGCCATAGGTTTCGACTTCTACTGTTGGCCATTTGCTGGTGGGGCAATCTTCGATGTCGACTCGACCCCCCAAATTCTCATACCTGAAAACTTAGAGCTCGAACTTTGAGAAATGTGAAGGTCGACAGACATGACACCCTTCGTCTAAAATACGTGTATTATCAAACGCATCAACAAACATAGACAGATCAAATGCAACGTCTTGGGTCCTTGCAAGCAATTCGTGACCAGGTCTAAATGTATTTTTTGTACCGCCAAAGTTAGAAGAGGAAGCTGGTGAAAGTCACCAGTGCATTACTGTAAATATTATGTGGGTACTGTGGGATCACTTGGAACAGAACCAACGTATCATTCGTCACTCTGCATGTGCCAGAAGTAAGAAGTGGCACGTCGTCGCAGTGAACCGTAAGTGTCCCGCCCAGACTTCATGCACCTGCTGGGGAGCGAGAAGCGAAACACAGCTGAAGTGGCTGGAGGGACTTGGAACCGGCTGAAACCGGGTGAAAGGATGCCAGGTGCTCTTTCATGTAAGAAAAGATGAGAAAGCAGATAGCTCATGTTCACACATTCTTATGCTACATATACTTCTACACATATTTATACCTTTCCCCAAACTGATCGAGCAAGCTATATTTGCCGATTTTATGCTCTTTCTTTGGGTGCACTGCGGCAGGGTTCAATGATCCTTTGGTGTACTTTGGTGATAAGGGCCCGAGCCATCTTAAAGAGGTTGGAGACGTTCTTATTCGCGAAAGGATTGACGGTTGCAGCATGTTGCAGCAGTTTCATTCTTTTGACTCTTGCCCCAGCAAGAGCAACAGACATTGTTCCTCGATTGGATGAGTCCTCAATGTGGAAAGCTTCTATATAATTGTTACTGTTGATTCCTCAGGAAAGGAGGCCAGCACAAAGTATGGCGTACTGATCCCAGACGCAGTGGAGAAACTTGGCAGCGAACAGTGAAGGAAGCCAGGTTTGCTTAGGCTAGTTAGCCGGTGAGGCTAGGAACAACTTCCTACTTGCCTCCAAATTGGGAGCCTAATGAACCTTTGTAGATGTTGATTGAAACGCTCAAAAGCTGCTGCTTGTCCAGTAGCACGTCGAAGTGTTGGGCAGCTGATCCATGCCCAAACGCCCATGTCCCACAGTAACCCACCATGCTAGGGTGTGTGGGTGCCTCGCACACACGCACTCACACCAAAAGACCCGTTCCTCGGCCTGGCAGGAAGTCCAATTGTCAATGTCACATGATTCAGTTCCAAAGCCTTGAAACAGCGAGTCATTCCAAGGAGCGACCCAAGGAGCGAGTCATGTGTTGATTCAGTTGATCTGATATGGCCAGAGACCCTGTCCTCATGTTGTCGCTGCTCGGTGGTGTGCCCTAGGAAACGGATCAGGGAGTTCGAGACATGGGATCACGAGAAGGCTTCGTTGGTGATCGTCAAGAAGCTCATGAAAGACTTGAAAGATCAGCTGCACAGCGCAGATTCTTAGACTTCCTCAAGAAAGCCTTGCGGGGTTGTTGAGACGGGTTCGTGACTTGAACACCCAAGGCTGTCATATTTCAGTTGTCGGATTTACCGACTATATAAACAACGGCAATTGCGGTGATTACTGACAGCAATAAGGACATGTGTGACATGACTGGAAGTTTTTTGTCGTCAAATTACTGGTTGAATTTAGATTCAGATATTTGTACATCCACCAGTCGACCAAGGCTAATATTGCAAAATTGTTCGAAAGAATCTTTGCTTGGTTCGGACTGAGGTTCCAAAAAGAAGCCGGTCTTTGTGTTGATGACGAGGGAAATGACTTTGAGCTGATTGAGGAGCTCATCAATCCTCCAAAGAAGGAGCTCCAGGAATTCCTCAAAGAAGGGACGTTGAAAAAGAAGTGGTCAACCATCATGAAGGGCCGATCAGTTGAGAAGGCTTGGCTCTATGAGATTGCCACTTGATCATAAGAGTGTGACTAGGTAGGCCATGGTAAGCCAGCGAAATGGGTGTTTGAGTAGTTTTGTGTGTTGAGATTCCCGTTGTTTCGCTGAGTGTCCGGTTTTGGGGCCCTGGGATCAGAATTCCATGCACCATGGATGTTATTTTGGTGGGATCATGCAGGGTCAGTCGATTTGTCACCGACTCAGGGCCCCAAAAGCATACTAAACTTGCTCATGTTGGCATCTTGCTTGTGCAGATGGATCGACCCAGGTGAGCAACTGGAGGACGGGGATTGATGTGGACAAGTTCGACTACTTCCGGAGGGACGCGCTCTTCTTGGGCATTCAGCGGCAGTGGGACCACAATTGATACATCAAGTCCGCGTGGGTCATCCCCGATGAGCCCGGAGAGAATGGTGTGTCGACGATAAGTCCACCTGAGAAGGATAGAGATAACATTCGAGAGAGCCTGGACCAACTGGGACAGGGAGTCAGGGTGAGTCAGGGAGAGGACTCCATCTGAATTGATGCGCTAGCCATCAGTAGCTTCAATCCCGCAAATGTGGGTTTCACCAGTTCATGGCTTACAAACCCTGGTTCCGGCGTATGATTTTCCTGGTCCCACCGAAACCAGAATATGGTTTGGGCATAAGTCCCAACAAAACTTCTGGTGCCATCCAGCCCAAACAGTGGCGAAAGAACACTCATTTTACGCATTGGACATAAAGTGCCAGCAAGTTGTAAACTCTAAAGTCATTCAGTTTACGGGACTGGTTTAGAATGATGATGCATGCTTACTTTGAAATAATTGTCCCAATTGACCAATATTTTGGAGTTTCATTTTACCTCGGACCAGACTGTCCTTCGGCATGCATCTCTATGCTGGAAGCTCATAGTCATAGACTCTGTCATAGACTTGGTATCCGGATTCCTGACCTCTTATATAAATTGTGTTTTAAATTTTCTTTATACATATTCTATTTATTATATATATATATTAGATGTATACATATATAGCTTATATAGGGACCCATATGGACTTCAAACCTGTTCACTCGAGCACGGTGGTGCTAGTCTTGGGGAGGCCAACATTTCCTCATGCTGAGATAAGAATTGCATGCAGTACTATGGACGACGTATGGCGACATTCTTGCAATCACGCAACTCGAGGAATTTGATGGAGTTGCGAAAGACACTGCATCGTGCAGCTTACCAACACAAGACGGTCAAGAAGCTTGAACAGTTCCTGGGCATTTGTGTGAACTTATTATTACATCTGATTTGAAGACACTGTATGTCAATATATGTCGCTCGATATTTCAAGTCATTCCTCTAGGGGATCCGATCTACGGCGTTCCGCATTTTCCGATATGACCCAACGCGAACACAAATCAGGTTCTGTACTTTGCACTGTCAAGGCATGTCAAGGCACCTTTTTACACCGCCTTGTTGTAATTATGTTCGTAATCCGTTCGATCAAAACAGGCACATGATCGATATCTTGAAGCTCATGGATGCGGTTCCATGGGTTACTGGCAGCAAAGGGCGCATGACCATTAGCGAGGCAGCTCTACAGTTGGATCCCGTTGCGTATCCGAGACCCGTCGAATGGGGAGAGTGAGCTCCAGAGTCCGCGAATGAGAAAGGAGTCGCCAATTGGGTTGTATCAACATGGCGGACTGAGCATGATCCGATAAATGAAGAAGGTATACGGGATTTGGAACTTTGCCCCCCGCCTTATTGAAAACCCTTTGTTTTTGTTTCAAGCAAGCTGTGTTCTTCTCCGATCATGTTTAGTTGGCGCCGCCAGAACCAGGAAATTGACCGACTCCTTCGTTGAGAGCCGATTAATGGACCAAGAGGATCCCAATTTGCAACGAGCTTCTGAGGAATACAAGGCGTGGACGGAGCAGCTCGGGCTCGAAACCACAAAGGAATTCTCAGAGCAAGCGTGATGGTTGTCTCGCAAAGTCACCAGATGACAATTCAACCGAGGACGACTCCCGTTTTTGAGGTTAAATCAAGAAAGTGAACCGGAGCAACGAGTGATCTGAATTTTGTAAACCCTATGACCTGTTGTGGAGGTCTCCCTGCGCACGCCGAGTTTCCAAACAGGATGCAGTGGTGGTGCTTTAAGCCTGAGAAAAAATGATCCTATAAACAGTGCACGCAGTGTAAGTCAACCTGACATCTTCACACTAGATACAATTGACGTATTATCAAAGGAAGTTTCGTGTGCAAAACTTCCGTGTTACGGACATTCAACAGCTGTTCAACCACCACTCATCATACACCACTCATCATACACCACTCATCAAACCACCACTCATCAAACCACCACTCATCATACACCACTCATCATACACCACTCATCAGATTTCGTGGCAGGTGCAGCAATTTGTGAACCTCCATGTGCAGATTTCGTG